GAATACACATTTTATCTATTTGAATATAATCTTGTTCTATTTCCTAAAAGTTATCTATTTCCCACCATATTAAATCTAAATAATACAATATCCCCTTTAATAAATCAAAACCATTGTACACATTGCCTGGGTTAATCAATAAATCAAACATATTCATAATTAATTTTTCTTTCTTTTAGGTCTAATTTTTAAGTATTAAACAGATAAAATCCTTATTTTCAACTAATTTCCAAATATTTTAAATCTAGTGAGCAGAATTCCCCTTATCTCAGCTTCTCCCTTTAACCCTCTAATTAATAATATGAAATCCCCTCTATTAAATCAAAACTCCAATTTTCTTCAGCCTTATTCTGGCTTTCTTCCTTTGCCAACTAGTCTTCCATTTCAGTGCTTTTAGATCATCAAATAGATCTCCCTCTATTATTATATATGTTATTTGAAATAAAGGAGACCATTTAATTGCCATTTTTTGGAAGGACAAGTCTATTTGTATTCATTAAGTTGTCTCTCTATTATTCCAGTTCCCCATGATTGCCCTGATATGTTTATCTTCCATTCAATCTGTTCTTCTTTCTCAAATTTCTTCTAATTTATATAGAAAGTCTTTTCCATTTTCAGTGTTGTCGCTCCCTTTTCTGGATTTAACTGTATTTATTGGTCAATTGAGTCCTCTGTCTTAATATTTGATTGTTCCACTTCTTCTGTTATCTTCTGCATTGTTAGTTCTTTGGTTGTAATCAAAGTTTGGGTTTGTGTATCGAAGCTGGCATCTTGATGTTTTATATTAGGTCTTATTTTATCACAAGCTGAAAGAATGGTTTCATGTATTGCTTTCAACATGGAAAGGATCTTTTCCTGGTCTTCATCCATCTCTTTCACATGTTTATAAATAGTCTTTATAATAGAAGTCGTTTGTCAAGCAAGATTTTATAGTCCATCATCTCATATAGTAACCAATATTCCTCAAATAAAGAGATAGGAAGGCAATTCCCCACATATAACTCTGAAAGTCAGTAAAGGTTTACATTCATACTTCAAGTAGGCCAGTTATGCCACCCACCTGTTCTCTTAAAGCTGAGTTTCTCACAGGTAGTCTTATCTAAGGTCTGGGCTTCGAGCCAAGTCTCTTTTAGGAAATAACAAGTTGTAATATCAACCTTCGCCACAAGATGTCACTGATGCCGTTTAAGGTTTTTTAAGTCCAAAATTTTTATAATCCTTTTTCCAATTTTATTTCTTTTTTGTAGCTAAAAGCAAAAGTCTCCAATAAAAGTAGGAAGTCAATTTTGGAATCTTTCATGTATGTCAACCAGGGGTGGGATTCAGCCGGTTCGCATCAGTTTGGCAGAACCGGTAGCTAATTTTTTGTTGCCCAGGCCCAGAATGGACTTCCGGAAGCGGCATCCACACAGAGAACTGGTTGTTCACATATTTGAATCCCACCACTGATGTCAACAATCCATAGGATCATGTAATAGTAGTGCTTAAATGTCCTATACAATGCAGTGTGGCATCCGAAATATATCTTTGTTAGGATTTTAGATCAGTGATACATGTTTCCCTTCTCAGGCTTTTTGTTCACATTTGCTTGTTCAGTAGCACTCTGTTTCTTCTTCAGTTGTTTGAAAATACAAAGCACAGAGGGGAGATAAATACATCACTCTGTTCTGGTCATTCTCATTTTTCATTAGTGGTGAAAGTTTATAGTAAAACTGTAATCTGTCTAGGGTAGGGGTGTCAAACTGCTGGCCCATGGGCCGGACGCATCACGTGGAAGCCGCGCCCACCCCATTGCCGGCAATGGCAAAACCGGCCCGATACGTTGCGCGACATCACGTGATGTCACAAGTTTGACATGTCTGCTTTAGGGCCATCATTGACTGCATTATATCACAACCATCTCCCTCCCTCAAAGTGTATGCCATTAACATAATATGTGTAGCTGCTGCAAATTTAATCAGCTGACCAATGCAGCATTTTGTTTAACAAATGTGAATCTGGCTGCTTGGTTAGTAGTCGTCTGGAAATCCTAGGGCTACGAGATCTGGACTTCAAGAATCTAAACAGCAGCAAAGAGATGCAGAAAACATTAGCTCTCTGCTTTTATCTAGTAGCCATGCTGAGTTTTACAACTCAGATCCATTAGCCCCAGGACCTTACAGATCACAGTATTCTGGATCTATATTTTAGCTACAGTACTACATCAGTATCAGACACTTCTGCTTAGTATGTGGTAGTATAGCTTAGTATTACTTGCATATATTGCAGTTAGACCACCATTTGGGAACTCATTTTGTTTATTATTTGAATAAATCATAATACGATGCATTTGGACAAAAGGTCACACTTGGTTTTAAGTTTATAATAAGTGTGCTCAGAACAAGATGTGTAGAAGAGCAGAAGGGAGCTTAGATTAAAAGAACTAGGATCATAATATTATGGCCATGGAACTTTACCCCATACTCACTGATAATTTCTGCTGAATTTGTATATTTGAAGAATATGAAGATGAAGAAAATAACACCAGTTATCGTAATTATTTTTTTCAAACATCCTGAATCCATTGAGATGTTTAGGGAGTTGCTATTTCTGAAGTAAATTTTTCAAGAGTTGTGGAGAAATAATATAAATAACAGATAATTAAATTATTTCATACTTGTTCTGATTTTTATACTGCATTAGGATTCTGTAGAATATGTTTCTTGATTTTATAAATGACTGAAATAACCCAGAGATCATAATGGGCACATCGTCCTTTCCCACAAAGACAGATAGGCAAAGAATATGTCAGATTTGCTATGCTGTCTTCACAAAACATACCTTATACTCACATACTTTAGCTCTCATGCATTTACATTCCTTCATTGCCATCACTTAAGGAACTTGAGAATTCCCAAGATACTCTTTACTAATACATAAAGAAATGGGAAACATCATATTATCTTTGGATTTGACAGCTTGATGGCTTACTCCTCATTATTGATAAGCCCAAGCTGTGTCTTTGGACACATATGACTGAATGCTCCCCAACAGGAAAATAAAATCCCTGCCTAAAAAAGGCAGGCTTTCAGGAAAACTATGTCATGTTGTGAGCTCTTGTTCTTATTTGTAGAGACAGGAGAAATAATTCAATTGCATAAAACCTAGACCTGCTCTGTAAAATGGTATGGCTCAAAACACAATATCTGGGTGAGAATTAAGCTTACATGTATACCTGGAAACATTTTCTCATTCTTCTGACATACACATATGGTCATTTTTGCCTTTTTTCTCCTTTCTTTTTTAGGGAGTCTGGTCCCAAATTTATCACATCCCAGGGAATAATTTCCTGTACCACATGTAAAAGTTTACAGAACTGACATCCACTTGTAGGGATAATAGGGGTGGGGTGGGTTGTACTACCACCAGATTTGGGCTGCAAATCTTCAGATGACCCTATCTGATGTCCAGATTTGGGAGCTCTATTACTATGAAATTATTTGCATGAATATTTATAGATGTGTGAAGAAGTTCTGTAACGTGTGCACAAATCAGTCCCAAATTATTCTTAATTGTTCCATCAAGACATATGAATCTTACAGTTTCTTGTATGTTAAATGAATTTCAGACATAATAAGATCGTGGAAGGTGTTCATTATAGTATCAAATTATAAAGCAACAACTCAACCTTTCTGTTATCTTTTGATTCCAGCATGCCTTTTCCTTTGTGAAAGAAATGGAAAGAAGAAAAAGAAAGAAAAATACATGGCTAACTGGCTTTTCCATTGTGAAAAAGTCTTTGAGGAATGCTTTCCACCATCTTTGGTTTAGTTTTTCTTCTTCCTAGCCTTCTATTCAACAATATTTTGAATATAGAAAACTAATGATTAATCAATTCAAGTGAAGAGGAGCATCTAATTTTTACATAAAACAGTTTTTACTAAAAGATTCAATCTGCGAAGGCTTTTCTTAAAAAATGTTATTTTTGCACATTGTAGTAAAATGTTTCTGAATATAAAGGCACAGGGAAACGATCTATTAAAAATAATTCTTAAAATGAAATTTTAACAGAATTTTGAAAAAAGACTTGTTCTGGCTCCTTTATCATGTCTTTTGAATGAAAATATTAACAAAGAGAATGACTTCAAGCATTTTAAAGATGTTGCCTTAGATACAGTGAAGAATATCTTATTCTATCTTGTGTTGACAATAATAATAATAATAATAATAATAATAATAATAATAATAATAATAATAATAATAATAATAAAGTTGGAAGGGACCTCGGAGGTCATCTAGTCCAACCCCCTGCTCAGGCAGGAAACCCTATACCATTTCGGACAAATGGCTGTCCAGTTTTTTCTTAAAAACTTCCAGTGTTGGCGCATTCACTGCTTCTGGAGGCAGGTTGTTCCACTGGTTAATTGTTCTAACTGTCAGGAAGTTTCTCCTTAGTTCTAGGTTGCTTCTCTCCTTGATTAGTTTCCATCCGCGCTTCTTGTACTTATTCGTTTAGACAAAGAGTTCAATAATATTGACCAATATAAATAAATATAAAACTACATGATATTTTGGCATATGTGTGAAAAGAGTACATGAAAGATAGCTATGACAAATGAGACAAAGATTATAAAGTCAGAGAAACAAAAGGAAAAGAAAGAAATGATTCAGTCCTAACCCTACTTGTAGAGCAAATTCCCATCTGTTATGAGAACATCATAAGGAGAAGTTCAGAAATATTTAGGCTTTGCTTATCTGTCTCATTCTCACAATTCAACAGGTTTTGGACTTGCCAAACATTTGTATCCATCCTAGCATGTTCCATCATGACCTCTTGAGCATTCAAATAAAATTACTGTCAGAGCTTTGAAAATTATTCCCTATTTTTTTCTATTATTGTGAAACATTAATTGAAATTTCATGTGTTAAGGAAACTTCAGCTTATTGTGCTATCATTCAGTCAGACTTTTGGAAAACTTTTCCTGCCTAGAAAACCTAAGTATGGTGCTTTGTGTCAAACAACTTCCCTTGAAATGTGCTGAAAGTATAGACTACAACTGATAGAACCATGGTTTCTGTATGTTATGTTAATCATCAAAAAATGAAACAAAATAGAAGGGTGCAGAGAATTGCAGATCCTAGGAAATGTGTAGAGAAAATTCCTGAGTACATAAAATACTAATTTTAAATCACAGTACTGGTATTTAGCACTTTTATGCCCATGTTTCATTTTTTTTTCAAGAAGACTTGTGTTACTGCAGAGTCATTCTGACCATTGATCCTATGTCAACATTCTAATCCTTTTGTCCTCCAAGAACATGTTTTCCTTCTTTCTAAAAGCTTGCAGATTTCATCCATGTGCCTTGCACAGGCTTCTAGGTTTTCTGCCAGTTTCTGGATTTTTGCCCTGAGTAGAGTATAGCTCACTTTTGTCATCTCTTCTTTGTGCTCAGGCACCAGAAAGCCCTGAGGACCACAGAACACCAGGAAGCAGGCAGAATTATAAAGGGCAATAGAAGCACTTTTCTCAGTCTGCAATAAGAAAGGATCAGTGGGATTCCAACTGCGGTGCAGGAACTCCAAGCAATTCATTGTTTCCTTCATCTGATTGTGACAAGCCAGGGCAATTTTTTTTATTCTTTTCACCTCCTTGGAGTTACAGAGCACTAAAGAAAGGTCTGAAGTCATGGAAACAGCCCCTCCTGCAGCCGCCACTCCTAAACCCACCCCAGAAGCCAAGAGGGAGGCTCCTAGAGTTGCAGGGCTCAAGGACAGCCCCACTATGGCCATAATTGCTCCGGCAGCACTTAAAGAATTTCCCGTTAGATATGCAATGAGAGAACATCTGTTCAGTTTACTGAGTCTCTGTAATATCTTTTGGAGTTTCTTGATGTAGCTGCATAGCCGGCTTTGCTGGTCAAGCAGTGTGTTGTAGAAGCAACATGTAGGATCAAAACCGAAGGGGAAAACACCATACTCCATAATCTTCATGGAAGAGAAGGGAAAATAAAAAGGTCACTAAGAACGGCAAACTCGTACTTTGACCAAGAGACATACAGCTGTATCTGGAATCCTAAACAAAGTTTTCCCTGCCCAGGAATTCTGAGAATTGCCATCCTAATATATCTAGAGGGCAGCAACTTGGCAGTTTGCTTTTAACCCATTCTACAAAACCATATCTTTTCTTCTGTCTTAATTTGAGATTCAAGCCCTTCCCCCATAGTTCCTGATTGCTCCAAGACTTTTTGTTGCTTTTGGTATAGCCCTCTAAAAATAATTCCTAAAATCTTGGCAAGCTTTCCCATGAAAATGTTCATGGACTATCTTTTGTAGCATCCTTTAAGAGCTATGAAACTATTGCACTCTCTTGTAAATCGCCAGAAAGAGAAGCATACTGTACATACCCAAATGAAAGTAAAGATGATCTATTTTAGACAGCTTTCTCATGTACATACTGTATGATTTTTCCCCACTATTGAAAACACTTCATCCATCCTTGACTCAGCAGAAAACTATACAGGAATCAAATTTGCTACCCCCCAGTATCAATCTGTATGTTATCTTTATTTGCTTGTCTTTCTGTCTCTGCCACTCACCTCACATCTCAAACATAACAGATGAAGATTAATTGTTTATCATAACTTTGAGGTTACCCTTGGACAGTATTGGAATAAAAAAGTGGGGAATATATTTTAACACTAATATAGCTAAGATTGACTTAAAATTGTCTCATTCATAGGCTAAGAACAAAATGAAAATGATATTATGGGGACCCAGCACAAGTGCAAAGGAAGAAATTAATAGATAAGGATCTTAATGTGATGTTGAACTATATTCCTAAAATATAGAATTGATCATCTCATTAAAAGCTTTGGCCTTTTCAAGCTTGGGGCACAGCAAAATGATAATTTTAGGTAATTGGAAAGAAGTCTACTTTCCTGATTTTAAGAAATGGATTCAGGATACAAGTTTGATTTCAAAAAGTTTCTATGTTTAAAACTGAGAAAGTGGTACAGTATGTCTCCATGTCAGTTATATTTAATGATAAGCCTAAGGACTAAATTAATTTTTTATCATAATCTATTGTTATATAATTTTTTCCCTTTTAGTTTTAGTCACATTCAGTGTATAATCACTGTCTTTTAAAAATTAGGGCAGTAGTTTTCTATATTTCACTATTAAAACATAACTTTTTTTAAAAAAAAAATCTCTTCACCTTCCCTCACAAGTCCAAGACAGTAAATTGCAGCCCAAGCCATCATTATATTGCAGCAGATTTTCTGGATACCTTTGAATGACAATTTAACATAAAGTAGAATAATAATGAGAACCAGTTTAGTAATGGTTAAGGCACAAGGCTAAAAACTGGGGAATTATGAATTCTAGTCCTGTCTTAGGCATCAAGCTAGCAGGGTGATCTTGGGCCATTCGCTTTTCTCAACCCTAGGAAGGAAGAAAAGGCAAACCACTTCCAAAACTCTGGCCAAGAAAACTGCAGGGATTAGTTTAGGCAGTCACCAGGAGTCAACACTAACTAGAAAAGAAGGAGAAGAATCCCTGACTTTGTCCCATTAAATTATGTGAAAAAGGTTAAAAGTTAGCATTCTTTTTAAGTAAAAGTAAATTATTTTTATAGAGAAGGAAGGATAAAAATATCTACAATAAAATGTTCAAAAGGTTTTCAAAGTGAAAAAAAGTAATAATTCCACCTACCATCGTTTTCTCTCAGACCAGTGTTCTCATGAATGATTCTCACGCTGTTTTGGGACCAGCTTTATTTATACTTTCCATAACCCCCTTTGCTCCAGTGGGATTGCTTTGCATCAGACCAGAAATCTGTCATTTCCTGGCACCCCTACCCATTATCCTTCCCCTGGAGATTTCAGAAGGATATGACACTGAACACTGGCTATGGAGACAAGTGCCTCTCCTGTTAGATTCAGGAAACCATCTTTATACTGTTTGTTCTAAAATACATCTACACACACTCACACTCACAAACACACACACTACCGTTCCTGACTCTAATCAAATGTGGTCATTTCCCAAAGAGAGAACTCTACCCTTCCTCTTCTTGAAATAACTGGTAACATCATGCTTTCATGTTATGGGACTCTGTGCCTTCCAGGCAGGTGACTGAGCCAGCAGAATCTTTTCATAAAATACAGGATGATCTCATCCAATCTTCCAGATTACTTGAATTCTGTGTCTTTTGTAAAGGAAAAACGTGTCACAGGAATGCTGCTTTTGATTGCCTGGGATACACCAGGTCCAGAGTTAAACAGTTTTCAAAAATGCATATAGGCATCTATTGTATCCACCCTTGCAAAATTTCAAAAAGCCTTCGATAACTTTCCTCAACAAAGGAGCCAAACGTAGTGGTCATGAGATAAGAGGATTCATCCATTTATTGTTAACTGTCTAAAACATTATTGGAGACTTCTTGGACACGTCTCTGCAATTTTATTGGCGAGATTTTTCAAAAGTGGTTTGCCATTGCCTCCTTCCTAGGGCTGAGAGAAAGTAGTCCAAAGATCACCCAGTTGGCTTTGTACCCAAGATTGGACGGTCCCCTGGTTTCTAACCTGATGCCTTAAGCCAGTGGTTCTCAACCTTTTTAATGCCGCGACCCCAACCGGTCGTAAGTCGAGGACTAAACCGGTCGTAAGTCGAGGACTAAACCGGTCGTAAGTCGAGGACTAAACCGGTCGTAAGTCGAGGACTACCCAACCGGTTGTAAGTCGAGGACTTTCCCTGCCTGGGAGTGCCGCGCATGCGCCGGCCGAGGCATAGCTGGCAAGCGGCAGAGACGGAGCAGGCCGACCACCAGCTGGCCCAGCCCAAGGGGGGTAAGGCACCCGGCGGAAAAGGGAAAAAAATGGTGGACAAAAAAAAATGGCAGACAAAAAAAATGGCGGACAGCCTTGCTTGGCGACCCCCATGAAATGGTCAATCGACCCCAAATGGTGTCCCGACCCACAGGTTGAGAACCACTGCCTTAAGCACTACACCAAACTGGCTGTAGCTAAAACATAGAAAAAGAAACAGCAAGAATGAATGAGCAACTTTTAGTGCAGGGAAGTAAGAAATGGATCAGCGTCGGGACCAATGCTTGCTAATGTTCAGAATGGATTTTGACTTAAGGATAAGCAGTGAGCTGTCTAAGTCTGTGGATGATACCCAATTTTTCAGTGTTCTGAAAAGCAAGAAGTTAGTATAATTGTATGTGGGAATAACCTTCAGAAACAGAAGGAAGAGCTGCAGATTGGATGATCATCATGTACATATAGTCCTTGACTTATGGTCCGTCGCTTAGCAATCTTTTGAAGTTATGACAGACCCCTCCCCCTAAAAAAGGTTCCAATGGCCTATTCCCCCCCCCCCGTGGTCCTGTGACTGCACTTCACTCAGCAGTTGGACCGCATTTATGGCCATTTGCATCATCCCATAGTCATGTGACAACATTTTACCTCATTTTTGCTGAAAACTTTTTTTTTCCTCCAGACACCAGGCATGTCTTTTTATATTTTGGTTGCCATATCAAATGAAAAAGAAAAATATGCTTTTGCAAACTTGTTATTCATAAGACAATTTTATTATATTTATTATATGGGTTAATTCAAGGAATTTCAGCATGAATAATTACAAACTAAGAACAAAATGCTCACTAGTTATGTTTCAACATCTTAGATTTCATACTAATAATTTTATTTGCTTGCTGCCCAACATAATAGGACAGTATTTTCATACATATTTATGTATACACACAGAATTATTAGCCCTTAGGCAATACCATCACATTACCTATAATTTTATATGACAATATTTTCCAGTCAAAGATGTTTCCCCTGGGAAATTCATGGGCCTGCAAAACTTTCTCTATATCATGAGATTTCAGTACATAATCCCACATGTAGAGATCTGATATTTCTCCCACAAAATGTGGCTTTTGCTGATCAGGCATATTTTGTGCACCTTGATCCCGTCCAAGCATTGCTGTGCCACCTGCTTGGAGAATGTGTCCCATATTATGCACTTTTCGGATACTACTTTTTCCATTCATCCAAAAGGCTGTAAGGCCAAATGCTGACTCCCAGGTGACACAGATGTGGCTCCCCAAAGTGCTGAGATCAGGAAGGGCAAACCTCACACTCCGACCCCCCATGTGTAAACCAAAGTGGCCCATTGCTTCACGCAAGACTCTCAATTCATCACTTTGAGAATGGTAGGAAAAGAGAATTATTCTGTGTTCATCTAAATACTCTACTGCAACCCTCATACAGAGTGTGAATTCCATCAGATTCAAAGGCTGCATTGGGGATATGATCACAAAACTGCCTTTTGCTTCATTGGGGAAACTCAGAACTCTGCCTTGTAGACCTAGAAGAGAGAATATTATCATGACCTTTCAAGAAGCACACTAAATTAGTGTTTTTATTTGTGTGTTATCACAGAGCTATATCTTACATTCTACAGTAATTAGCATATGTAATGAAAACCGTTATATAGGTATGGTTAACAACAATACCTATCTGTACATTATTACTCTGGGGTAGACAGGAGATGCTCTCAATATCATGACCCAAGTCTGTAGACTGTGAGGGTATGGATGGGATATAAAAGGCTGAAATTTTACTAAAGCAAGATAGAACTACTATCTGTTCATTAAAGTTCTTCAATATCTCAAGTGTTCATCATGGAATGGTACTATTTTGAAGGAAGAAGGATCTTCCTAGAGTAACAGCTATTGCTAAATGGGCAGGTGAAAGTCATGACCAGAGAGTATTGCCTAACTTCAGTTTGTATACCAATTGCAGCCATAGTTACAGGATGTTGTGGCAGTGACTCATATCCTTATCATCTCTCATTTGGACTCTCGGTTGCATGCAGTACATGAGATTGCCTTTTAAACCTGCTTAGAGGTGTGGTCTCAGAATTGGTCCAGAATACATCAGCCCAGTTGCTGATGGATATTCACTAATATGAGCACACTACATCTGTGCACTACGTTGGTTTCTATTAGCTCCAAGTGTAATTAAAGTGCTGGGGTTTTTGTTTTTTTATCTTGAAAGACGTATATCAGTGGTGGCGAACGGGTGCCAGAGGTGGCACTCGGAGCCCTCTCTGTGGGCACACATGCCATTGCCCCAGCCTCACCTCCCCTGTGACCCCCTCCTCTCCAGCAGCCCCCCTGAAGGAGAGTCGCCCCTGAGCGTGGCCCATGCAGAGCAGCACAGCCAAGGACATGGCAGCCAGGCAGCGTAGACAAGACTCTGCCCTCACACCCCATCGTGCACAGTTGATGCTGCAGGGCGCGGGAAGAGGGCGTGACCGCCATAGCACTGCTGGGCGATCTGTGGCGGGCCCTGGAGGCGGTGAGTGGTCCTGCGGGCAGGTGCAGCAGGGGATGGGGGCAGAGCGGGGGCGGGGCAGGGGGTGGAGCAGGGGCGGGGCCAGTTTTTGGGCACTCGGTCTCTAAAAGGTTCACCATCACTGACCTATATGATGTCAGAGTGCTTACAGGGCCATCTTTTCTATTCAATTTTGGCCCACTTGAACATATTCAAGTTGAACATCTCAGAACCACCTTGTGATTCCACACATTTTTAAAAGATAGAGGTAGGGAATAATTCATAGAGGCACCTTCATTAGGGATATGTTTACATTTTGGAAGAGCCTCCCCTCAAGAATTCAATCCCTCCTTACAGGCTTTCTTTAAGTTGTTAAAAACAAAATTACTTTGGAGAGCCTTGGAAGGTTGAGCTGATGTCATCACGTAGTGTAAGTAACAGTGGAATATAATTTTATTGTTTTTAGCCTTTTACTATGGATGTTATATTGCATTTTTGCAAATAATATTTTCTGATTGGGGTAAAATATAAATCAAATAACTATTTATTATTTAACTGCTCTCTATTGGTAGTCTTTATCTTTTTTTGTATCTTTATTCGTCTTTTGTATTCCCTAAAGAACTTTTATTATTAGGGTGTTCAAACGTGTGTATAAAAATGATTCATTGTTTACTTCTGTCTCTATCATTGTCCCCTTCCTCTATTATTTCACTTTCAATGAATTATTCTGAAAGACTTTGAGGTGAGCAGCAGCAACATATATCCACCTTTTTGATCTGATACTTGTTTTGCTTCTTTTCAATCAAACATTAGTCAGATCAAAGCAAATCAGGGATAGTCAGTTACCAACCTCACCCTATGACTTCTGTATTTACCCCCATACCCCAGTGACCTGTCTGAGATTCTCTCACAGGCTAATTGCACATGCAGATACATCTGGGCAAAAGTAAGCTACATGACAAGTAGATGATCAACATATATAGCTATTCTCCCCAAGCCCAAACTATATTAAGAAAAAACACCATAAACTATTCAGTTCCATTAAAGATGTAGGAAGAAGAGACAAAATAAGGGAAATAAAGGGATAATTTTTAGAATATTAAATAATTCTCTTGCAAAGACTATTAGAAACAAGCATAAACCAACCTACAATATGACAACGCACATACCTGAATCAGTATCACTGTCTCGAACAGGACTCCATCCTCCATCATGAACTGCAAGAAATGAAATGTCTGAATTTCTAATATTCAAAAATGAAAGATTCATATTCACCATAAGACTTGACGGTATCACTACTCTGGCCTCTGAAAAATGAAAGATGTTCCTTGAAAGAAAGAGGATATAGATACAGAAAAGGGTGCCTTACACCCCCCCCCCCCCCAATAAACCTCTCCCTCTCCCTCTAATTTACTAGAATGAATTTGCAAGATCAGTTCTCTTGGAAAATGGGAATTCAAGAAGAGCTGATACATTGTCAACTATTTA